CAGGACTTGGAAGGGCAGAACAGTCACTGGAGGCAGGGACTCTTCGCATGCAGCTCCCGTTAACTCTGCAAGTCAGAGCCCTAACGGGTAGGGCGGTCCTTGTTGGATAAACAGTAGGAAAGCTTGCTAGTCACTATACCAATGTGTAGACCTAGGCTTTATTGGCAGGTTATTCAACAGGCAGACTTTGGAGAAGATTGTTTTTTCATTAGGTATTCAACTTGTTTTTCCGGCAGAGATTATTGGTAGCAAGAACTCTGCCTGATTTTTTTTTCTCTCTCTCTGTCTTGCCCACCCCAACCCCACTATAGCCCAAGGTCAAGGTAACCAATTGTAGTGCCTCCATTCCTGCTCCATTTGACTCACCTCAAGAGCCAAAAATCAGCAATAACATGGAAACAAGCCAGCTGTGTGCTAAGTTCATTCATTGTTTTACTAACAAATGGAAATCTCTCTCCTACTCTATCTTTTGAGATTTACACTACAATCTTTGCCTTTGCTAAATTTGTAGCATATTTTTAAAAAATGCATTTGTTTTGCATTTGTCTTTTCGAAGAATTTTTGTCCAATGAGGAGAATTAATGGTCCATGCGCAAAATTGGCAATGATTTAAAGCCGTCCTTCGTAGCTTTATTTGAATTATACTGATCAATCAAATGTAAAATCGTGTAAGCAGCATTCACTTTGAAGATGCTAGCTTTCATAAAGAGATGCTTACACATCTCTTGACTATTTAAGTGATATGCATCTTCTGGAATGAACCAACAACTTGCCCAGACATGCCTTGGATCAGCTTTGCCGCTGAAACCATTAACTAGACAAAAAATTCACTTATGCAAGCCGAACAACAACAGTTATTAAAAATTTAAAATGGTGGGCTCCGCAATGGTGGAAATAATGCAGTTTAAGCTAGCTTTCTAAATAGAAGATTTTTTTTTCTATGAGTTGTCAGATAAACCGACTTAACTCTGAAAATGGTTTTCTCAACACAAATTAACTATTTCAATTTTTTAATTTTTAAAATGTGTAATCCTAATAGAGAATGGTAAATTTGCTAGTTGCACGCCGGTTTAAAAAGGAAAGAAATGAGGTAAAAATTTGTGTGCTGAGACTGTCGATGAAGATGTGATTCTGGCCCCCTAGAGGGAGATAGATAGAGGAGCTGAAATAATTGATACGTCTTGGAGATGCCAGTTACTGTATAGATTCTGATGCAGTAAATTGAAGTGATAGATTTATATTGCACTTTTTTTCCATTATGCTTTAATGTGTCTCAAATCGAGTTGAAAAGCACAGTTTGCATATCACAACCTAATCAGGATAGTGATATAAAAGCTCAACAATTTATAAATTCAGAGGAGAAGATTGGAGATGCAGTACTTAGTATCCTTAGTATGCACACAGTATTGCTGATTTTCTATGGGGAATCTTGCTGTGAGGAGTGTGCATTGATCCATTGTTATTCATTATGACCAGCGTTGCCTTTCCGTCCCTTATTCTTTGATCAATTGAAGCTCCAAGCTGCAGTTGCCATCTTTACCTGAGCAGTACAGTGATTTCAGTTTGTGGGTAAACCTTTGCCTTGAAACAGAGAATTCTCATGATGAAGGAAGCGAGTGTACAGCGTCGGAGGTTTTCTTCGTATGCAGCGGTGCCAGCTATGCTGTCACCACGAATTGATGGACGAAAACTGATCAGAAATGCTTCTTTTGGCGGATACAATGAAATTGCTCCTATATTTGAAGGTTTGTTAGACCTCTCTTGTTATGCAACTCAAAACTGTGTGCTTTAAGTAATAATCTGAAATAAGATGCAAATATCAAATAAACCAAGAGGTTTTGAAGAATAAAGGTGACTTGCATGCTTTTTAATTTGTGTTATAATACATGTAACAAAATGAAAATAAGTACTGAAATACCTTTGATTTCAATTGCTTCTGTCAATGATTTTGCTAGTAGAAGCATTTGGCATACTGCTGGTTCAGATACTGCTCCACTTATAATTGGCTTGTTATTACCTACATTATTTTACATTCAGAAAAAATATTAATCAATGGGAAGATTATTTTTCTTGGAAGAATGGTTTAAGATGAAATAGTGCAATAGTTGAGAACCACTCGTTCTTTAACCTTGTGTCCTTGAGATAGAATTCATCTTAGAAAGATTGTCTTTAGGTTTGAATATTTATGGTACTTATTTATTTAGTGCCTAGCAAAGGCAGTTCTTTTCGGATCACCACTCATCACAAAACTGTCATCAGAATTGGTGCATGTATTGTGAAGTTAATATCAAAATGTTGTATATTCCACCATTTGACACAATTTTGTTTATAAGTTAGCCGTTATTGCATTTTAATGCACGAATGATTGCAAACTATAAGCAGTTCATGAATTATACTCATAGTAAATCAAATGCAAGGATTATTATAGTGAATGGTTACTAAATTGGAATGAAGTGCCTGCTTATCTCAATAACAGTATTGCCATTTAAGGACTTGGAGATCTAAATCTTAATTATATGCAATTCTCTTGTTACAAAATTAAATTGGAATTTCCAAATGTTTGCAGATTTTATCTTCTCTTTATAGCTTTTTCCATCTTGCATCAAAGGATGCTAAGTAAAGCTGAAAAATAACTTAAAATATATTCATTCTAAATTCTGCGTACATACACATGCATGCAGAATTTGTATGGACATTCTCAATGTTTTTTTGTTTTATTTCAGTTCATAATTAAAGAAGTATAGCTTCTAATTGTACTGATGAAACGCACTAAGTAAAATTATAAAGATCTGTGCACTATTTTAGAAATTAACGAATACGTCTCAGTGGAGTAAAACTGAAGCTCCTTTAATTTGAATTTACTACTCTGGTAAGATGCATTTCTTGATGCAGGATTGTAGATGTTTCACCTTGTGTTTGACCTTTATTGATCTTTTCAAAAAGATAAATATTTAGGTGTTTTTTTTATCCTTTTTTGTCCCATTATTCTTTAATTGTGTTCCTAAATTTGGTGCTGTTTCCTTGTTTTATGTGCATTTTATTCATAGAATACTTCACAGATTTGTGATTTCAATAAATATAGATTTCTTAATATTTTCCAGAATACTTTTCGTTGATGGTGAATATTAATTTCTGTTCCCCATTGCTGAAGGTGGATTTGCAAGTGCAGATTTTAGCAAACTGTATTACCATCTATATTTGCCTGAATTCCAGGTTTTTGCTTTTAAGAATTGGATGGATTGTGACTATTTTAGTTTTAATTAAAAAANTGATAATTTGGTCACTCATTCCACGACTATTTGTGGAACACTGTTGTGCACAATGGTTGCATTATAGTATATTCTATGAAGTGTGAAATGTCTCACCAACATGATAAGGCGTTATATCAAATGCAAGGATTATTATAGGATTATTATTATCTTCACACATTATATATTACAGTTGTAAATAACTCAGTCCGTTGAGGGTTCTTTCACTCAGTATTCAATCCACAGTAGCTTCACTTGCAGCATGCTGCTTGGTTCATACTGATATGCCAGAACTGCACTCCAAATGTACAAAAGATTTATGTAGAAAATACTGACCAGACTTCCAAGTAATCTTCAGACTGTAATTGTTAACAACTTGCTCTAGTTACGCATAACCAATTTTTTTAAAAAAAATCAGTTTGTAATACCTGTAACTTTGCACAAGAAATGTGTTATAGCTTGTAAATTAAAACTGGCTGCACTTTATTGAGATATTAAAGAACTCAAAAAATGGAAATGAGAAGTGTTATACAATTTGTATTCAGAATATTAATGCTTTGAATGAGGACTTTGGTACCGAATTTGTGTCTGTTGTGGAAACATCTACAACTATTTCTGCTTAATTCTCGAAGTGTTGCATTCTTAATGGTGCTGTCCTTCATTAAGACTGATTAAACCAAGTTCCTGTCTGCTTGTTCAGGTGGATGTTAAAGATGGTATGGCTCAAAGAGAAGTGAGTTTCTCTAGGTGTCCTGGCCAACAATCCCCTAGATAAAAAATCCCTAGTTGTTTGTGGGAAATTGTCGTGTGCCGACAAATAAGGTCACTACACTTTACAGTAAAATCCTGTGAAGGAGTTTGAGATGTCTCAATGACATAAGGCGTTATATTGAATTCACTCTGTTTATACAACACTAAAGGAGGTACACAACTATACATTAGAGGTGGCAAAAATAAACTATGACTGAGTTAACTGACAGCCTTGGTTGTTGCAAATAATGCTTACATTTTTACCTGTGAGTTCAGATGTATTGTGAACATCATCTTCAGGTGGATCTTAGAGCTTTCAAATGCAGCAGTGTAATCTCCTTTAACACAGTTGCAGCTGCCATAGGAACGTAACCTTGATTTAAAGATGCTGAATGAAAAAAAGTCATAGAAATGTACTTTTACATGCTATAAACCTTCAAAGGAATGTCAAATGACATAAATGTTACCCAAATCATTGAAGATATGAAGTGACTGCACATTCGAAACTAGCAGTGAAGTCTGGTTTCTTACTTTTTTTGAGCTGTGGATTTGAGGTATTCCACTTGTTTGTGGCAAAGCAGCAGACACACATTGAACCATGTCTCCATGGTTTTATATCTTCTTTTATACACCAATGTCTTTTATAATAATTTCACAGTAATTTTAACTCTACATTTGGATTATTATTCTGTTATTGTTATTCTGCCAGTATTTTGGATTGCTGCAGAATTTGAGCCTGTTGAATGCTTGCAGGTGCAGCTATAAAAGGAAATAGCTGAGCTTCAGTTTCTATAATTATTTTAGAAATAACCCAGTGTCCTGGGTTTTTTTTTGTCAGTAGTGGGAATTGCTGGTCAGAGCAGTGTACCAAGAAGATACGGTATTCATAAAATCAGTTTTACATACACAAGTAACTAATTACCTGGATTGATCCACAAACGTCTTTAAACAGCGGGACAAAGTTACCTCTGTAACAATAGCTTGCTTTTTTTTCTCTCTTAGGTTTGGACAGAGGCAAAGATGATGTCTCCATGGCAAAGGACGATTTGACATACTCCATTTCAAAAAGCAAGGTACACAAAGTTGAATTGTTTATCAGACCCTTAGAACTGTGCATCTACAGGGAACCGTGAAACTCTGATAATTTGTCACCCAAGAGAAATTATTCAAATGATGACCTATTGGGGTTGATGAGTTATCTGAAGGATCATTGCTACTAGCCACACTGCATATGCCCCGCGTATGATTTATGGCACAAATTAAGAAATATTCAAGCAAGAAATTTTAATTTGTTGACTAACCGTAACAGTTGGCCACCACTGTTCTAGGCTGATACTCCAGTGCAGTTTTTGGGAAATGATGTGTCAGAGGTACAATCTTTCAAAAGATGTATTAAACTGAGATCCCACCTACCTGCTCAGATTGACATTGAAGATACCACAACACTGTTCGAGAAGCAAGTTTCTGCCTTTGTTCTGACCGACCATTTTTCAGATTATTTGGTATTCTTTTATTCTTTTCATTACTTCTGGTACAGACTATAATAATAATAATAATAATCCTTGCATTTGATATAGCGCTTTTCACGTCGGGAGGACGTCCCAAAGCGCTTCACAGAACACACTGTAAAGTGAATTGACTGTATATTTGTGGGCGAACGCGGCAGCCAATTGCGCACAGCAATGTCCCACAAACAGTCTAGTCAGTTTTCCATACAAAAATGGATGACTTCCAGTTTGTTGGATCACCGATGACACTGTACGCTAAGTGCTTCACAAAGAAAGGGTTATCAGTGATGTTATAACTGGATTCTATTGTACTGCAATTTTCTTTTGGGCTCTTACTGATATTAACTTTCTAATACACTTTGGAGTACATGTTCAAGCTCATGTGTTTCAAGATCATTTGCTTTCACAGTAATTAACTCCCTCACGTTTGGGTTAGTTTCACTGCTGCCTTTGTTCTATGATTAAATGTTTTATGCTCTGGAGTTGGTGTCCACTGTGACTTCAAAATTATTGACAAGTAAATACACATTTTGATAAATTAACAACGCAATAGTTGAAAAGCACATCTTTCCTCATTGTGGATAATATACCAGTGACATTGATATTCTCAACAATCTGTAAATTGTGTAAAATTGTTTACCTATATGTTCCATTATTTAAAAGTATTGGGAGTGTGTCTCTGAAGACATGCATTAGTGCTTGGAATTTGTCATCCCTTCCTTTAAAGGCTTTTTTTTTAAAAAAAAATCTGCTGTCTATAGTATAATATGATGAGCCAGAGATCATTCTAGTTTTACAGAATCATTTCAAATGACAAAATGAAGGATTCTGGTTTTCAAAGTCTGGACTTGTGCTGTAGTGGTTCAAAAGTTATATTGAGTTATTTTACTGCTAGCGCATTTAAGGAAGGATTACGTTTACTTGAATTTTAAATGTTAATTTGGGGAGTGCAATTCCCCAGCCCCACATGTGTATTCATTCAAGCAAATGGGTTTCCAAAAACATTTTAAACTAAATACCAAGTATTTGGTAGCTGGAGTTGTGATTAATCCTAATATTTTATGTTGCAGTCAGAGTCAAAGCTTTACAATGGAACAGAAAGGGATCTTGCTTCTCCGGGGAGTAAACTTACAAAGAAGGAGTCTCTTAAGGTATATTTATGTGCATAAATTGTATTAAAACCATAGTGGGCAATTTACTGTTTAATATCAGGGGGTACATTTACACTGTAGTGTATTTTATTTTACTTCTCCAAAGCTAAGTTTTCTTTTTNCTGTGCGTCACCAAAGAATTCCTCAAGGTGAGGAATCGTTGTGTTGGTGAATTGAGAATTTCATGTTTCAGGCTCCTTGTAATTGACCACTCCTGGGTTAAGGAACACTAAAAGAGTAAAATTCCCTCAGAAGAGATTTATCACGACACCAGCGTGATATTTCCTTTTTCTATTCCAGGAGCTTTATTGGCTATCCAACTGAATGGTGTGTGGGAAATTTTGTATGTGTGTTTAGCAGATCCACTAAGGTTGAAACTTCTCAAACTTATAATAATAATCCTTGCATTTGATATAGCGCTTTTCACGTCTTCTCGACTTCTCAAAGTGCTTCACAGGATAGACTGTAAAGTGAATTGACAGTATATTTGTGGGCGAAACGCGGCAGCCAATTGCGCACAGCAGCGTCCCACAAACAGTCGTGGATTGAAAATGACCAATTTGTTTTGTTTTTTGGAGGGATTATTATTAGGCGTGTGGAGTAAGGAAACTTGCCCAAGGTTTCGCCCTTCCTGGAATTGAACCCAGGTTTCTCGCTTGCAACCACTAACCACTGAACTACCAGACTCCACTTGTTTCTATTGAATGCTTCATTAATAGAGAGAAACTTTCTTACCATCATTCTAGACTAAATTCAGACATGGGTCATAGCTGAAATGATGGTATGCTCACCTGGAGCCAAATACTCTCATCCCAATTCCTTGCTTTTTCTCTGTATCCATTTATATTGTTCAGTACTGTCTCTTCTAATTGAGAACGTTGTAGGTTCAAGCACCAAGGTCATAACCTAATCTGATATTCCAGTGCATTTCTGGGGTAGTGCAATATTACAACAGTCCTTGTGGTAAAGCAAGCAAGAGGACCTGGGTTTGATTCCCAGCGGGGCGAAACGTTGGGCAGGTTTTCTTACTCCACACGCCTGTTTACCTAGCAGTAAGTAGGAACCCGGTTGTTAGTCGATTGTCGGATCGCTTTTCCGGGGGTAATAATCCCTTCAAAAAAAAATTTTAAAATAATAATTTGGTCTCTCAATCCATGACTGTTTATGGGACACTGTTGTGTGCAATTGGCTGCTGCGTTTCGTCCACAAAATATTACAGTCAAAGCACTTTACAGTATATTCTCTGAAGCGTGTTGAGACATGTCGAAGACGTGATAAGGCTTTATATCAAATGCAAGGATTATTATTATTAGCCCTTCAGAGACGACATACTGAGGACCTGTCTGAACCTATTCAGGTGAATTTTAATGATCCCACGTTACTATTCAGATAGTGAAGGGAGTTTCTGTCTGTGTCTTGGTCAGCAAGCCTGCAGATAAAATTGGACACTTCAGAGCTGCTTGGGGGTCATTGCTGTGTGCAATCTTACTGCTGTGTTTGCCTACAAATAGTTACTATATTTTACAGTGAATCCTGTGAAATGCTTTTGAGAAATTTTGACCACTTGATAGGTGCTGCATCAAATGCAAGGATGATTACTTTATTATCTTCTATGAGGTGTTATTATTCATACTTTTATTATTAATTACAAAAAAGTATGATGCAGAGAGTTTCTGCATTATTAATTCAGTGGCTGCAACAGCAAAAAGTAATGCTGTAATATAAAAGATAATGGAAAGTGTGGGAGTAATTGATGATTGGAATTAGGTCAAGATATAAAAGCAGTTTGTCATCTGAATCCATTGATTGGATTATTACCTGTTAATCCACATCTTTCCATACAATGGCTTTTATATGTGTAGTAGGTAAGTATAAACAAAAGTGTTATTTTAACCAGATTATATATAAACTAATGCTGGGAAATCCAGAACAAGTAAAATGTGCAATATTTTCCTAATCTTATAGAGCTAGTCTTTCATTTAATACCAGATTTGCATTGTTGTGAATTTCACTTTTATCACAATTTACTAAAAATAAGTTTGCTCTTGCAGGTTCAGAAGAAAAACTATAGGGAAGAAAAGAAAAGGGCTACAAAAGAGTTACTCAGCACTATTACTGATCCGTCTGTAATAGTTATGGCTGATTGGTTGAAGGTGTGTATGCAGTGGGCAATGCTGGAGGGTTGTTTACTATTGCAAACTCACTTGCTGGGTACTCTACTAAATTAGTCCCTCACACTTAGAGAGGTGATGAAAATGAGGAAAAATGTATTATGTAAATTGGGAACACAAACCTTTTCATCGAGAGTGAAATAAACCTGGTTATTCCACATTTTGTCATTATATTCTGCTTGTACCAAAACAATCTTTGCTATCAAATCTCTTCTAAAACTGTATCTTTCATTGTGCCTTCAGCCACCTCTCACCTATCCCTCTGCTTTCCCCACCCCAGTTTGGGCTCCCACCTTCATCACTGAAAAGTGCATTGAGGCATTATTTGAAAGGAGTTCTCTAATTGCATACTCGTGTATCTTGAGTAAACAAAATCCTATGGATTCATGGGAGACATTATCCATCAGGAAATATTTAAAAAGTATACTTTCAAATGAATTTATGCTTTTTAGTTTTGTGGAACTGTATTAAAAACTTTTAATTGTGTCCGACAATTGTAAATTAACTATCCAAGTAATCTGAATAGTTGCAGCATACTGTGTCAGTGGTGGAAGCTTCATATTCATAAAGCACTGGAAATCACAGGTTTATTACGCTTTCAGATGTGAGGCACATAAGATTCACTTGGAGATTGTGTGATAGAAAAAGGGGGTAAGCAGGTTCAGTGCAACCGAGATGCATTAAATAATTCTGACGTACTAATACAGGCTGAGTTGTATTATTTAGTTGCGCTCATGTTATGGAGGAAACTGAACTGTTTCTATGTGTAACCATGTTCACCCAGTCTCGCACATATTCAATCAAATTTTTGGTGCAAATCAACCAGGCTGTAGGGGAAGGTCAATCTTCCACCATTAAGTAGATGGGTTGGTTTCAGTGCAGAGCATGATGTGATATCATGATGTGATATTGTTGTGGGCCCACTATTATTCTGTAACTTGGCCAAAATCAAACCAAACGTTGAATGGAGATAGCTCAATGAGGCAGCTGGGTGAATGGGAGATTCACCTCCTGTATACTGAGATTTTCTGATGGATTTATGTGGTCTGTGGATTGTGAATTATAAACTTAGTGTAAAATTCTTATAAAATGAGAAGGCATCTTCGACAGTAATGGCCCCAATAGTTGATGTTAAAAGAGCAGTTCTGTTCCAAACAGCACCACTTGGTGGTGACTGGTTTTGACTGCATCAACACCACACACTGCCATCCAATTATTTTTTCAGCTTTACAGTTTCTGCGTTCAAGGCAGAAACATTGTGACATCATAAACTAAATTGATCATTACCTGTTTGCAATCTTTCCATATTCAGTGCGTGCATGAAGTTCAATGTTCTCATCTGCAGGGTCTGCAATCTGAATCTGTCCAATTAAATATGGAGCAAATTGGTCAGTGAGTCAGCAACTCAAAGGCATAGATTTAAAATCATTACCAAAACAACAAAAGGAGCCGTTAATTGTTATTTACATGGAAGGTTATTCGGACAAGGAATACACTGCCAAAAATTGTGGTTGAAGCAGAATCTATAATAGGTTTCAAAAGGGAATTTGCCAAATATTTGAAAAGAGAAAATATGAAAGATTTTGTGGAAAAGATTGAGGAGTGACCATTCAGCACATTGCATCTATGCTGAGACTCTTTTAGAGTCCCAGCATAGATGCAATGTGCTGAATGGTCTCCTGTGCTAAAGACGTTTCTGTATTTTCTATAACAACTTTCCATGTTATTTAAGTCTTAACAGTTTTGATATTGAACAAAAACTTTCCTAGGTTAAGAAATTAAATTGCCATGTATTTAATTATATTTGGGTTTGGGGAAACATTTTCACATGTGTTCAACTATAGTGTATTATTTTAAAAAGTTCAAAATTCAAGAATTAACTGTTGAATATGTTCCTTTTCACTTGTGAAATGCAAAAAAGCAATTAAAATTTGCCTCACAGGTGACATTAAGAATTCCTCAAATGGTATATAAATTGTTGTATTTCAGGTATGTAAAGTAATGGTCAAACACAAAGTGTTTGAGATTCATTGTAGTGTCATCATGAAGCCACTGTGACCTCAGAGGAATGAAAAAAACAAGAAAGTGACCTCTTTATGTGGACAATGAAATATTTAGCAGATAAGGCCCTGAATGAGATGCAGTTTCTATTGCATTCTTATGAAAGTCATGGGCCCACGTACAAATTTGTTATCTTTGTGTAATATAAATCCCGTCTTACTCGGGGTTGTCCAGATGGTTACTTAATGAGTTTCTTTTATTTCTAGGTATGTGATGAGGTAGCACTTTAAAATGTTTTAAAATAAAAGTTTTAATCAGTTCAGTGAATGAAATACCCAGTATGTTCTGCATTTAGAAAGTTTCAGAGTAGAATATTTTGGAGACTATAAATACTGTGCTTGCACTGTATTGCATTTCTCTTGTTTATATGCTCACTCCTTTAAAGAGAGGCTTTATCATGGCTGGCAGTGAGATGTGGCGAAACTTCAGAAATGAGGGTGACTGGATAAATTGTAATCATTGGTGAGTTACGGTAACTTCACAATGGGAAGTAATGATTGTATGTATTATGTCTCTGACAGTCTTTACATATTTTATGTAGGTAGTACTTGTACATTTTCAGCTCAGGCATGAATAATTTTAATGTTTTAATACCATTTATATGAGAGGAATCTGGTGATATCTTATATCAGTATTTTCTCAACCTCACAAAATACTAACCCTGTTATCCAATGACTAATATGATTTGTTTGTTGATGGCATTTTCTCTGAATCAGTGTGTTAACTAACTGCATGATCTAATTAAGTTTTTAATAACGTGCCTTGTCTTTGTTAGATCCGTGGAACTTTGAAAAGCTGGACAAAACTGTGGTGTGTGCTGAAACCAGGAGTGTTGTTAATCTACAAAACCCCAAAGAATGGCCAGTGGGTAGGAACGGTTCTTCTGAATGCTTGTGAACTCATTGAGAGGCCATCAAAGAAAGACGGCTTTTGTTTCAAAGTCTTTCATCCTTTGGAACAATCTGTTTGGGCTGTAAAGGTTGGTGTATTTTTTTCTTTTCTGGGCAAAAAAAAAACCCTGTTGTGCAAAGTGTAATTTATAATAACATGAGCTGCTAGGAATTTTACTTTTGTCCAAAGCTTTTATTTTTGCAATGTGGCGCAGGGTAACTGAAATTTGACTTGGTTATATAGGTTTGTTTAGGAGTCCTGTAGCTCAGTGGTTAGAGCACTTGCCTCACAAGCGAGAGACTTGGGTTCGATTCCCGGCAGGGGCAAGTTTGGGCAAGTTTCCTTACTTCACACGCCTGATAATAATCCCTCAAGAAAAAAGAAAACAATTATAATTTGGTCACTCAATCCCTAATTATTTGTGGGACACTGCTGTGCGCAACTGGTTACCACATTTCCCCCACAAATATACAGTCAATTCACTTTACAGTATATTCTGTGAAGCTCTTTGAGACGTTTAGAAGAAGTGAAAAGTGCTATATCAAATGTAAGGATTATTATTATTAAATATAATAAGTATTGAGTCTTTTATGTATAACATGTTGTACTTTATGTGATTATTTAAAAGGGTCCAAAAGGTGAAGCTGTTGGGTCCATAACTCAGCCATTGCCTGGTAGTTATCTGATATTTCGTGCAGCTTCAGAATCCGATGGTAAGAATGTAATAATGTAAATACAACGTTTGTCAAAATATCTTTGTGTGTTTGTGTACATTTGTTTCAAAAATGCTTTCCAATCAATTACCTTGATACCATATTATATCAATTATATGCATTGTCTGAAACTTTTTCACAGGAAGGTGTTGGATGGATGCTTTGGAGCTAGCTCTTAAATGTTCAGGCCTCCTTAAACGCACAATGATGAGAGAAGGCAAAGAACTCGATTTAAATGCTTCCTTAGAGAATTCCCACGTTGCCCTTTTTGGCCTCCTACGTGCAAATGTTTTACAAAGTTCGGAACACTATCAGTAAGTGATCATTTTTGCTTTTGACATATGGTTGACAGGTTGTTGTCCACATGCAGTGAAAAATCCTCGTTGCAGAAATAAATTAACAGCTCAACAAACATCTTTATTACCTGTATAAATCTGTAGCTTTCCAACTTATGGAGCTCTAAATGTTTGAGTTAAACGTTATAAAATTCTGTTGACATATTGAGCAACTTTCACAGACCTGCTGAGACCTGAAACTAAGAGATGAGTGTTACTGTTAAGTTGCAGCCTCATAACCTGAGAGTGCAATCACATTTTAAGGCATTTTGGAGAGGTGGGTAACAAATGGTCATGAATTTCTGGATCCAAACCACCTTTATGACTTGATAGATTCATTGATGATACACTCTGCTTTTGATGAGTACAATGCACTCTCTAGCTTGTCAATTTACCCTTTATTTTATTTTTAATGCTGTAGTTAACTAAAAGTTGTCAAATGTACGTGCTGTATAACTCAGAGTGAGTAATTACAGAAAGTAGACCTTGTCCTGCTGTTAATGTGAGAAACTTGATGACATTTTCACAGCCCCTTAATCACACCAGTGTTAACATTATTTCTGTAATGGATATTCCAGAATAGTAGGTAAAAAATGTTTTAAGTGGGGAAGCCCAAAGAGGGTCGATAAGCAAAGGGATCTGGAGCTAAGTCCATTAATCAGTAAAATATGGTCTGCAGAACACTTGAACAATAAGGCAAATTGAAAAATGGGTTTCATAACCTGAAGTATAAAAAACAACACACAGCTGCTCCATTTATATAGAGTAACGGCTAGATCTCATTTGGAGTCTTGTGCTTTTGGGCACTCATAGAAAGGATATATTGTAATAATAATCTTTGTATTTGATATAGCGCCTTAACACGTCTTTGAGACGTCTCAAAGCTCTTTACAGAATATACTGTAAAGTGAATTGACTGTATATTTTTGGGGCGAAACGTGGCAGCCAATTGCGCACAGCAGCGTCCCACAAACAGTCCTGGATTGAGTGATCAAATTATTATTATTATTATTTATTTATTTTGAAGTGATTATTACCCCCCCGGAAAAGCGATCCACCAATTGACTTGCAACCAGATTCCTACTTACTGCTAGGTAAACAGAGGCACGTAGATTAAGGAAACTTGCCCAATGTTTCACCCTGCCTGGGAATCAAACCCAGGTCCTCTCGCTTGCGAGGCGAGTGCTCTAACCACTCACCTACAGGACTCATAGAGTCTTAGAAAGAGTCAGAGATTATTACATGGGATGAAGGGGTGGTTTATGATGAGAGGTTGGGAAGACCTCAGTTCCTTAGAGCTGAGGATAGGGGCTAATCTGATTTGAATGTTCAAAATAAAGAAGAAAATTGACAACCTGGAAGACTCTTTCCTTTGGAAGAGGAATTCAAAACAAGAGAACATAATCTTAAAATTATAACTTAAGTTGTTTTCAGAAGTGGGGTCAGAAATCGGGGCCGTGGAATGTGATGCCTCAAAAGGTTGTAGAGCTACAATTAATGTTTAAAGGGAAGATAGATACATTGGAAGTAAGGTTATAGGTGATTAAAAGATGCTCAAATCTGTCAGAGTGGCCTTCTCCTGTTTCTATTTCCTATGATATTTTAAATTATTGCACAAATGACGTGGAGGTTGGAGTTAAAAACCTTTAATAGAGATTCAGTCTTGTTGAACTGAATTTATTTTTCTTTTGTAATAAAATAAATTAAGTACATTAATTTACATGTACAGGTTAAATGATAGTGAGATAGAACAACAGCATTTCAGAGACCACGATCTGTACTCAGACAAGTCGGACAAAGAAAATGAGCAGGACCATGAAGAATCAGACAATGACGGACTGGAGAAAAGTGGAAAAAGTGAGGAAAGCGACTCCGATACCTCAGAGAAACAGGATGATTCCTTTGTAGATCCTGAACCTATGGACCTGATAAAAGAAACTACTTACGTAGAAGAATCCCATGAAGAATTAGGGGAGGTAAAATATTTCTTGCACGAAAACTAATTACAACATATTGCTGGGTATTTTTTTCTAATTCACAAATACATTTATGTGAAAGAATAATCTTGTCTTTCCGTTCATAAATACATTTTTTGCTAATTTTGCAATTTTTTAAAAGAAACATTAGACGTGTGATATCAGGAGCATTTCTTGCATGGATTGTAGAAGCTTCAGTTAAATATTTTTTAAAAATCACAGCTGAATCTGAATCAGATGTTTGCACATGAAGTCAAGAGTTGAAACAATGTCTTGTAATGTAACTTACTAAAAGTACATGTTGTATAGGATGTTTTTGAACATTTCCTATCAACCTTTAAAAAGTTTGTCTTGTTCTTTCTCCTAAACCCTCCACCCACCCCCCACTCGAAATCTAGGCAGGTGAGGCTTGCCAGACGGAAGTAGTATCTGAGGAGAACAAAAGCCTAATTTGGACCTTACTGAAACAAGTTCGTCCAGGAATGGATCTGTCAAAAGTTGTACTGCCTACATTTATACTGGAACCTCGATCGTTCTTAGACAAATTGTCAGACTACTACTACCATGCTGACTTTCTCTCTGAGTAAGCATAGTAATTGTTTATACATTTTGGATGAATCTTACTCTAGTCAAAGAAATTGGAGCTATCCTGTCTTTGTGTAATGTTTCTGGTTGACTCAGCTGATACTTTACTAGAGATATTTAGGAGAAGAATCTTTACCATAAACAGTCTTCTCTCCCCTCGATGGCCTGATTTGATTCTATTCTTTTGAATTCAAAATTTTGGCTTGTTTTTCCCCCCCAAGTGCATCATGTTATTTCATTAGAATGTTTTCTGAGCTGTCTCTGACCATAGGCATAGTCAAAGAGGTTGGCTTTTCAATAGGATTTAAAGACCGAGGGATAGTGGGAGGGAATTCAAGATTGGGATGCTTTTGAGAAGTCCAGACGTAACAAAGCCATGAATGAAGGTTTCAACAGCGTTGGTATAAGGAGTTCATTGGCACCGTGACAAAGATGAAGAAAAGCAGCCTTAGTCAGGGATCAAATGTGAGGAAGGAAGACGAACAAGTTTGAGAGGACAAGTTTGCAGGGGTACGGGGAGAGAGCGGGGGAGTGGGATTGATTTGGATAGCTCTTTTCAAAGAGCCGGGACAGACACGGTGGGCCGAATGGCCTCCTTCTGTTGTAATTCTATGATTCTATGAACTGAGGATCAAAATATAAATTTTAAAGAGAATTGGGATTTGAATAGGAAATAACAACAGCATGGGTTTGAAGACTTCGGGTTTTTCTGTGTCTGGGAAGCGAGAGCAATAATCATGGTAAAACTCTGTAAAATCATATAAATGGCGAAAGATGATGATAATTGTGTTAAAATTATCAGTTTGTTTTGTCTTAATTTATCTTTGGGAACTTTAAGCTGTTATGAGTATTTGATTCTCACAGGGCTGCAGTAGAAGAAAATGCTTACAGTCGTATGAAGAAAGTTGTGAAATGGTATTTATCAGGCTTCTACAAGAAACCAAAGGTAGATTAGTTTACAAAAGATTCTAAAGTCATGAAATATTAATTAAAAGCAAACTTGTGTCCTATTATTGTATCTTCGGAGAATTACTTTTCATGTAAAAGTTTCAAATGAATCATACAATGTACACCTAATGATTTAGGTCAAATAAAGGGTAATATGATGATTGAATACATTTTACAAATAGATTAATGTAATATTTGATTCCCGCACATAGCCATGAAGTGATCTTTTTGTTTCATCTGTGAAATTATTGACTGAGACACTTTTCCAGATGCACAGGAGTATATATGATGTAATGCAAATGTTTTTGTAATTAATTCACTGTTTTATTAAAAATTAGGATTTCTGTGGATAATCAGTTTTCAATGTATGTTATACATTTTAAAATAGTTAACCATTTCTTTCTGTGCAAAGGGCTTGAAGAAACCATACAATCCAATTATTGGTGAAACATTCCGATGTATGTGGATTCATCCAAAAACAAACAGCAGAACTTTTTACATTTCAGAACAGGTATTTTTTTAAAAAAAATAAACACCAAATTGATTCAATATGTATTTTGGCAGTGGTTTCAGAAATGTACCTTACTTATGACACAATTTGACATTGTTCCTCAGAAAAGTTATCGCAATTTCAGTTAAACAATATTTATTAAAGTTGTTGTTTATCTGTTGTGCAAAGTATTATTTTGCATTTTCATTTTGAAATTGGGGATGAAAGTTGTCTTCAAATTATCAAGGCAGTTTGTTGAATGTATTTTACATCTATATGTTTATGAAACTGAAGCTTAAATTTTGTTGTGCTGATTTGGGTTGTCAGACCTTTTTTATTTTTGAATTCTCTTAATAGGTGTCCCATCATCCCCCAATCTCTGCTTTCTATGTAAGTAATAGAAAAGATGGATTTTGTGTCAGTGGCAGTATCCTCGCCAAATCCAAGTTTTACGGTGAGTTTGCTTTTCATTTGTGTAGTTACTGTTGTACATTGTTGCATATCAAATGGCAAAACATTGAGGAAGCCTGGAAGCTATATTTATGGTAGGTCAATTAAGAAAGTCAAAGCTTGAATTATTTTTAATTTCTCTATAACGCAGGTTTGCTACTCTCAGTTGGGATTAAAGATAAGGGAAAATTGTTAGGAGTAGGGGGGCAATTTTAAAATAGCTCACGCACCATTTGTGGAGCAGGAAACATCATGACAAACTTTGATCTGATGCGAAAGCAATTCAAAACAAGTAATTAAATCAAGAAGCCAGAAAGCAGTTTGCTGTTGAGCATATATTTGCCGGTAGAGATCTATTATATCAGAAGATGTGTGGTTGTTGTGTTGAAAGACTGAAAGATGGGGATTACTTATACAAAGTACAAAATGTACTGTAATTAATGTCTGTCTTCAGACTCCAGTGCATTGACGAGGAAATGATTAGCAATTTTCATCACCAATGTTAAGGTGGTTTAACACAACAACAAAATTACATTTGTATAGCGCCTTTCACTTCGGAAGGATGTCTCAAGGTGCTGGACAGTCGGACAATAGCGCTAGTTTAAGAAATGCTAATTTTTGTTTTTGTTTTGACCCATAATTCATTATAGTATTGTAGTACATGTCAAACTCTGCAGCAAACACACTGATCTCCCATTCTCCCATTCTGATTTAGTTCATGGTTATCTGCTTGGCTCAGTTTGTAGTTTTCGTTTTTTTTACCTTTAAGTTAGAAAGTTTTGGGTTCAAGCTCTACATGAGGAGTCTAGGTGGGTACACCAATTCAGTGAGTGTTGCAGCTGGTGGTGCAATCCTTCCAATGAGACATTAAACTGAGTTTAATCTCAGGGAGGGTGGAGGGGAGTGGGGGAAGGAGAGTGAACAAAAGCACGGTCGAAGAGGAGGGTCTTGAGATTGATCTTGAAGGAGCCACTGGAGGTGGCGAGACAGAGGGACTATGGCGTAGAGTTTCAGAGGGCAGCTGAAGGCCCGCCCGCACATGGTGGGGCGGCCGAGGTGGAGGGCGTGAAGCAGGCCAGAGCCCGCTGAGCGGAGGGAGCCGGCAGGTTAATAGGAGTTTAGAAGGTCTCAGAGGTAGGGGGGAGCAGGGCCATGGAGGACTTTGATGGTGAGGACCCAGATCTCGAATTGTATCCTCTGTGTGATGGGAAGCCAGTGGAGTCGGGCGAGGATGGGGGTGAGAGGGTCACGGAGCCTGGTGCGGGAGAGCACACATGCTGCAGAGTTCTGGATGACCTAAAGCCTATGGAAGGAGGAGTTAGCAAGGCCAACATGTAGGGAGTTTGCATAGTCAAGGCTGGGTGTCATGAGTGCATGTATGAAGATTTTGGTGGCCTGAGTGTGAGACAGTGGCAGAGCCGGGCGATGATGCGGAGGTGGCGGAAGGGTTAAGGCATGAATGTGGGGTAACAAGGATAGTTGAGGGTCAAACAAGATACCAAGGTTCTGGACTGGCTTAGTAAGGTGCATTGCGCATCCTTGGATGGTGATGCTGTCAGCGTCTGAGGTGTGGAGGTGCTGACAGGAGCCAATCAGGGGCGCCTTGGTCTTGTTGATATTCAACTGAAGAAAGTTAGCTCTCATCCAGGACTTGATATCTGTCAGACATTCTGTCAGGACAGCAGTGGTCCTGGAATCGAGGCGTGGCAGACCTGCTAGCATAACTTGAACTAGTGAATACAAGTTATACACGTTTTGTAACTAAAATGTGATGTATATATTTGCTTTGTGTTCCAGGTAATTCCTTGTCTGCCATATTGGATGGAGAAGCTAGATTGTCTTTCCTTAGCAGAGGAGAAGATTATATAATGACCATCCCCTATGCTCATTGTAAAGGTATGGCATTGTAGATTCAACTGGCTACAAAAAAGTTTTGATTGCTTATGCTAGTTGCTAGCATAGCTCCATTGGTAGAACTGGCAACGTAAATCCACATGTCAGGATTTGAGATCATAGGGCTGAAACTCTAGTACAGTACTGGAGAAGTGCTGCTTTATTGGAGGTGCCATCGTTTGGGTGAGGTGTTAAACCAAGAATCAATTTATTTGAGAGGACATTAAAATGCCCGTAACCTTACTTAAAAAGTGAAGACAGTATCCTCGCAAACATCTGGCAAATTAATTGGCTATTCATCTTTGTGGGACTTTGCTGTGCAAACAAAAGGTTCCCGTACATGAGTTACTTCTGTGAAGTGTTTTGAGGCAGTACAAATATACATTGCAACTGCAAGCTCTTTTTAAGATGCATTTCTAGATCTTCCTTTCCTGTGGCCTAGCAAGGAAAGACACTTTGCAGTGTAGCATTCTACACTGCGGTGTGTTAGCTGATCTCCCAAGGGAGCATCTGGGGTTCTACACTTTAGCTTCCGCACCCCTGGGTTCAAGAAGAGAAAATCAGCCAGGCCTCTTTTGTAGAAAGATATTATATAAGAGAGGAGAGGAATCAACAGCTTCAGGAAAGGAGGGAAGTGAGACAAATTTAGAGGAGAAATATTAGAATCAGAATCCTTACCAACCGAGTATCATTTCTAATTACCTCCATATGTGAATATAAAATGTTTTATCTTAAAAAAAGTATTTAAATCTTCTGTAGTTATTGTAGTTAAATTAAGTTGTAAAATGCTGGCTTGTGTTCATAATGAAGTGTGTTATTGCAATCTTGTAGCTAAGAATTCTTGAAGCTTGTAAGCTACTTTGATATTTAATAATTAAGAATTTTCATTTAGGAATTCTTTATGGAACATTGACTCTTGAACTTGGAGGATATGTTAACATCAGTTGTGAGAAAACTGGCTACAGTGCAATAATTGAATTCAAATTAAAGGTTAGTAAATTGATTTCTCTTTAAATTTAGCACGTTACCTGAGTGTTTTGTTTTTGCCCAATGGATTTATTAGGGAAGCCACTGATCCTTTTTATTGTTCAGTTTTGGAACAAATGTAATATCTCACAAGTGACCTGACTGCAAAACATTGTTTTTTGACTTTCACAGCCATTTTTAGGCAGCAACGACAGTGTTAACCAGATAGCTGGGAAGATCAAACTGGGATCAGAAGTTTTGGCTACTTTGGAAGGTCACTGGGTGAGTAAGGAACTATATAGCTTTAATTTATTCTACGAAATCAAGTCAAAATGTTAACTGAGATAATGTAGATCACTATAGTAAGTGTTGAACTGTTTTGATTAAAATACAAATCAGATATTTAGAAATGTAGTAATTTCTTTTGATTATTTACTTGGAATGATTACATTTATAGTTAGCATTTTTACATGTCTTTAAACATTTCCAGATACTTTTGTACTTGAAGGAGCCTTAGTTTCCTTGTCTCCCTGAACAGGACACTGAAGTTATCATCAATGATAAAAAGACCAACAAATCAGAGTTATTCTGGAACCCTACTATTGACATCCGACAACAGAGGCTGACCAGATGCACTGTGCTTTTTGAGGAACAGGAAAATGTGGAATCAGAAAAGTAAGTATTCACTAACTTTAATTTTTTAAAAAAGTTCCTTTACAGATTCAATGTGACCACTGAATTTCCATTCGTATTTAAATATACAAATTTAAGACCTCTAGTTAGACGATATAATTTTCTCTCCCGTACAGTTTACTCATAAACTAAATTAAAGGTGAGCTCTAGTGTTCAAATTATTTTAAATAATGCACAATGACTCAGTAATATTACTCTCTTAGTAAAATTCAAGAAAACACAAGAAAAGTGATTCAAATTGAATGTTTCTACATTTGTAAATAAATCATTAACTTCATTCACTACTTTGTAGAACTGATTGCTCATCACAGTATTGTACTTAATGTGTATTTTTTTAAAAAAAGAAATCCATGTTACAAGCTGTTCTGTGTATTGGGACTCGCCTTAAAACAGTTAATAGTTCTTCACAAGGTAAGTGGAAAATAACTGGTCTTTATTATGTGGATCAAGTAACTGGTATAGGAAAATCGAAAGGTAGGACTGTATTACACGGTGATAAAGGGTTGAAAGCTTCATATTACCTTATAAACTACAAGAGTAGCTTATCAGTTTCACCTGACCTTAGAGATGTGTTGTTCTTACCTTGAAACATAATTCTGCATTTTTTGTATTGCTAAAAGCTTCAAAATTCAAGTACTTCAATAGCAAAAGGTTGAGGCAAACAATAACAAAACAAAATCCCCCCAAAACAAGTCTTCCCCTTGGCTTATCAGCATTTTCATTTTGCCCCTGAGTGACTTGGAGGTGCTCATTATTTGGTGTTATGTTTCTGTATCCCGTGTTTTTTAAAGTCTCGATGTTGTCTTCTCCTTGATGCACTCCATAAAGTGCAGTAATGTTGAAGGTCGTCCGTGTCCAGGCTATAAATTTCTTAAAGGAGCACTTTCAAATAATTTCTTCATGAATGTCCTCTGATAAAGTAACCAACATTTATGAATGGATAGTTTTAATTTTGACAGATCTACTTTGCCTTACTTTCTGTGTTATCTTCTTAGACTGTGGCAACATGTGACTCGGGCAATTTCCCATAAAGACCAGAATGAAGCCACGAATGAAAAGTTTATCCTTGAAGAAGCACAGAGAAATGCTGCCAAAGAACGAAAAGCCAAGAAAACAGAATGGTTTTGCAAGTTGTTTGAACAAGATCCAATTACAGGAGATTGGCATTATAAATATGCAGAGTAAGTATATTTTCCAAACATTTGCATTATAATCATTCTGATTACTCTTGTTACACTATGAAAATTGGCCAATACAATTTCTATTTCTGTATTGCTAACGATATCAATCAATTCAGTGCCATTTTTCTGAACCCTGGACAGAAAAAAATGGTAATGATTATTTGCATGGTTGCAGTGTCTGTAGAAACTTAGTTAAGCAGCCAACTGCAGAACCACTACAACAACTTGCATTTATATAGCGCCCTTCACCAGGGGTAGCATCCTGGAGTGCTACCAAGATTACTGTGTAAGAGATAACTTCAAGAAGTGGTGGTTAGGTGGAATTGAGCTTGCTTTTAAAGAGCATTGTTGATTGTTGCAGATGAATAGATAAAATGTGTTGGTTGTATGATCAGATCCCGAAGCTAGCCATCACTTGCAATCATAACTTGGAGTACCATAGAGCTGCAGAGTTAAAGACAGTGTTGTCATTGTTAACTTTCTCTCCTGCCTTCCCTCAAAAGATGTCTTTATTGACTAACCTTGGAGTAATATTGAGTCGGTTCATTAGTTTTTGTATCTGGTCTTTTTTTTTAAAAAAGCTATTAGTTCTGTTACAGAATTTAAATATTTTAAATCTGGAGCAATATGGCAGCATTATTGCAACTGGAGTTGCAATGCAATGCTTGTGAGTGCTCCGAGACACTGAAGGCTGCGATATAAATGCAAGTTGTTGTTGTTGCGTTTGATCTCTTTGGTTGTCAGAGAAGTTTTACCTGATACTAATAAATGAGTGTGTTTTATTGAATGCAGCACCAGGCCTTGGGATCCACTGAACGACCTGATGCAGTACGAGAAAGATGGTGTCATCCAGTCCAAAGTTTGGCACCGCACTCCAATGGTACGTTCTGGCAGTGTAATTAGTCTCAGTAACCAAGTGGGAAGGAAAGAGAATTGCAAACGGCAGGTAGGTTTTAAGGTGAGATTGTACGAATACCACGTTTACTACCAGCAGTGACCCAGTTTAAATGATTAGGGTGGTTTTCCTCACTTTTTTTTTGAACCTTTGTCAGTCGGGAGTAAAATTCTCAATCTATCCCGACGTCATGTAATTAGTATTTCAGGTCCTGATCTTTCATCGTGGATGAAAATATGTTTGAACCTCACATCTTTTTGAGATGTAATTAACTGCTGACACCATTTCAGTATTTCTGCTGAATTCTGCCGACTCAATTGTTGGAAGGGTTGATAAAAAGTGGGATGATTTTAATAGGAATTTGGAAAGGGTTTTTTTCCCCCTCCGCAAAGAATACATCAGCGTGACAGTTTTTCTCTGGTCTTCAGTTTTCTCTGAGCATTTGTCAGCCAAATGGCATTTAGCCTCTGGAACCTTAAAGTGCAGCCTGAGATCACTTATACTAACTTGTTACATACCAACTGAGGCTACAATCAGAACATACTGATTGAGAGCTGCTCTCTCTACAGACCATTCAGTCCAACTACTGGTGTTTATATACTCTGCATGAGCCTCCACTCCTATTCTATACTCCTCTGTTCATTTCTCCTTGGTGAATTTATCAAGCTTCCTCATAAATATCTTGATGCTTTTTGCTTCAATCCGAGCTTCCACCCGTGAGTGCCACATTCTCACCACCCAGTCAGTATGTAAAGAAGTTCCTCCTCAACTGGAGCCTGTAATTATTGATTTCAGTTCTATGGGTAGTTGCCATGTGAAGAAGAACCATATAATTTATAGTTGTGTAAGCTTCTTGACTTGCTCAGTGAATGCTCGTAAAACCCCATTGCTTGATACCATTAAATTATCTCGATGAGCAAGGAAAGGGAGGCAGTAGCAGTGCATCTGACCTCTGTCCCAGAGCCAGTCTTGACACAAAATAGCAAGTCCATTGTAGGCCACAGGTGAAGGAGATGCTTGACTACTGAGGAAACGCTAGGATTTCCTTATCAATGCAATTCTCTCCCTTATGGAGTAAAACTAAATTAGATAAACAGAACTTTTAATTTGGATTTATTTTGCACCAGTGTTGTGTTATAGTCTGTGACATGATGTTCCTCTATTTTCATCAGAAGGGGCCACCACACTCTCCTATAAAGAAATGAAAGCACTTCAGAGCCCAATCTTATCTAATTTCAATGCTTATTGGACTCTGTCATGTACAGTAAAGTGCATCTTTTTCATGTAACTGCAGTAGGAAAGGTTGGTATGACCACAAATTGAAGTGCTATACTTGGGGTCTACCACAGGTTTGAATTTTGGAAAATTACTAAAGACTTCGGTATTGGATGACCTTTATCAAAAATGTTTACCCTTATTTTGTAAGAATATATTGTTCCACATCAATTGAAATACTTGTGAAGATAAAGTTTTTTTGAAAGATTGAAGAGAACATTCACAACTGAGGTGAACAAAATTAAGGGCTATCCTTTCATTTTAGTTTTCATTCATTTTGTCACAGGTCGCTGTACCTAAACGACCCCGGAATAAGCACAGTGGCCAGCGGATTCCTGAAAGTGGATGTTCCACACCAGAACAAGATCAGCAAGACTCATCCGAGTCAGAAAGTGAGTTTTTTTTAAACGTTTCTCTCTCGCGTCACTGCAAATAGTCTTTCAATCATATGTTAGATACATCCGTCAGTCAAAAATGAGCCCCTTCATGTAAAATGACTTAAATTATAGGGATTATAGGCTTTGGTAAAAAAAAAAATTGGTTATTTACTATTTTTGCTTCATTTAAATTAACTTGCCGACTTCAGATTTACTTCTATACCGTGAAGCACACTCCCTAACAACGAATAGAATTACATAGAATGATATTGCATGGAAACAGACCACTCAGCTCAAGCAGCCCAAGTAATGGTTTATACTCCACACAAGCCTCTCCCCTTCCTAAACCCTTTAGCCTCATGTATGCATCATATCCCTTTAAATACTCTGGTGTTTTTGCTTCAACAACAATATACATCAGTGAGTTTCTCATTCTTAGAATTGAGCTTTCAAAGAAAGAAGTTTCTTCAAAATTTCCTTTTAGATATGCCGCTAACTTTCTTAAGACTGAATCTTGAAATTTTCTAGTCCTAAAATGAATGATTGTCATTTGAGGCAATCCCTAATGTGTTTTCAGTTCTGTAGTAAACACTTTGAGTCCTACGCTGACCGACAATTTGACTTCCACATAAGAGGATATTTGTACTTTGATTCCAGCATTAGGTAAAGTTTGGGCTTGTTTTACATCTGTGGGAGGGAAACTGACAATCACTTTAGGAGAGCTCATCTTAAGAGTAAAATTCAGTACTTAACTGCCATCAAGAGAAAGCAACAACCATGGAATGCAGCAACCTTCAGACAAATGAATTATGGTATGAACCCAAAAAAATCCAGATGGATGGAAAGTCTATGGTTTGAAATAATGAATGAATGACTTCCTACTGTTATTTTAAGTCAACATTACACTTAAATATCTTGCATCCCTTGCAGCTACAGTGAATAGATTGAAGTTGCTTTAAGCACATTTTTCTAAGTATTTTTAATTCACTTAGTTATGAAATACTCACCCCCGTGACTCTGTGTATGTTTCCTGTAGGACAAAAGACAGCGAAGCACAGTACAAGATTGAGAAAGAAGGTGAATGATCTTGGTGAACTTCAGAGTGCCATCGATTCAATTAGACAAACACAAGAGGAGATAAACAGGTATGCAAATGTATACCAATAAATTAGCATTTTGTTCTGACTATAATCTAGTACTCAAATGCCTGTAACAATTGTTCTCCCACAGGACAATCTGCTAATTTCAGACAGATTGTTGATGAACCTGGAATCATTCCCATCCATATTTTGAAAATTCAGTAGTATATTCATCAGGGGACCTGACAATAAATGTCTTAATATGTAAATTTTAATATAGAAAATTGCACAATTATTTAGAACTAAGGATGATCTGATAGCTCCAGAATAGAACTGCACAGCGGGAAATTAAATGCCACTTCAGCTGAAAATGGGATCAACTAATTCTTGTTGAGTGAATTTTGACAATTTTCTTCAGACCAGTAGGTGACACCAGAGCATTCCTGACCCGACAGGAGAACCTCTTTGGTTAATCAATCACATTGTGGTTAAAAAGAATTGATCACATTCATGAAGAACCAGTCACAGAGACTGCCCACTTAGCAATAGATGATAGTATGTATATTTGAGGATTTTTTTTTAAATAAGTAAAGGGAATTAAATGTATTTGCGTTATTGTCCTTTTTAGGAACCATTTTTTGCCTATGTTCTCCCTTTCACTCCTTAAGACTCTCCTTTTCTTCTACAGAGGTAAAGGTCCACAGACCCTGGTTGTTCTCTGGTACCTTGTCCAAGTGGCCGTTTCATGTTGAGCTTCGACAATTAATATTGGAAACCTATTAGATTGGTGGCCATCATAGCTGAACTTAATTATGTCATCTGTCATTACGTTTTTCAGTCAGAAATTGAAACCCCTATTTCTCCTCCCTAAATCGGGGGCGTTTCACCCATTAAATATGCAGTGAATTCACTTTACAGTATATTCTGTGAAGCACTTTGAGACGTCTCGAAGACATGATAAGGCGCTATATCAAATGCGAGGATTATTATTATTGATGCCAATTATAGAGCTGCAAATTCTTCTTCTTTACCAGGGATCAGCTAATTTTCTTAACCTAGTGTTTAAAACTGCAGATTTCCTGTGTTTGCTCCAGTGCTACACCAGATGAAATCTTTATAATCAGGTCATCTGAGGAGCATATAAAGTGTTTTTTTTCTTCAAACAAAGAATAGTCGTGTGCCTTTTGGTAATGCAAAATATTTTTAGTTTAGTAATTGCATATTTCCTATTTCAAAATGTATTGCTAAAGTCTTTGCAACACCAATTACATGTTGCAGCATTGAAATGGGCTCTGCTGGAGGCAAGCTCCAGTGAATTCTAGGAGTCCAGGAATAAAACAGATATTTTTATAAGCTTATTACTGAAGCAAATTGTGTATAATGGAGCTTCTCAGATCATTGGGAGTGTCCTTACAACAATATGCTATGAAAATGAACACTTGCAAATGATTGACTAAGTCTTAAATTGCTTTATACTGCCTTATATTTTTACAAATTTTCTATATAAACTTCCCTTTTTTCTGGTGTTACTGTCCATTTTGGAGACGGGATCTATATTGTCAGATTAGCCTCAAACCCGCTTTGAAGGTTGTTTTTTTTCCACCAGTTGGATTACAAAATATTGAAGATCACTTTGGTTATGTCATCAAAGAATCCAATCAGTATCTTTCTGTGGGTGGTTGACAAGTTAGCAGAGGAGGCTGCTAAAACAAGTTGTCTTTGTGATGTCCTTAGAATTGTGATGTTTTTCGATTAGAGGGAGGGGAAACAACTGCTAAGTCCATGCTGATGAATGTGATTTAAATTTCTGGTGGCAGAAAAGGGTGGAAAAGGAAGACCAAGGCAAAACCGAAAAAGGGACCACTCATTACTGAAGACTTACTTATTTAAGTGCGACTATTAAAAACAAAAGATTCCATGTAGGGGTTCACAAAATCATATTTACCAACAGCAAGTACAAAACTCTTGTCTGGATTGCATTATCTAAGTGGTCAGATTTATGAAATTGTCATTCAATTTTAGGCGAGCAATTGATGCCCTAAAATGGATGGCAATGAAAAACCAAATTCAATAAGCGCTAATCTATATCACACTGAAACTCAGGCTGCAACAAAATGCTCCCCTGTTATAAACCCATTGTGTCAAAGCTTCTCCAACCTCCAGTAAAGAAAGAGTTTGAAATCCAATATCCCTAGGGAAAGTAGTTTGAAAGCGTATTCATAGCATCAATCTGAACATTAATTCGGAACAAAGTTCTCTGTCCATAATTCCTTTTATGCACTTGAAGTACAACATCTTTGTGCCTCTTTGGGGTCTGGATTGTTCTTCTGCATTTCTAGGGCATATGTAATCTGAAGTAATTTAATAGCACAATCTCCATTTCTCCACAGATAAGTTTTTTTCTTGAGGCCATAACAATTAGACGAGCACAGCAATCTGGCACAGGCAAAATATTAAATGGCAGAGATGCTACTCTAATAACAACCACCAAAACCATAGCCCCAACTTGCATTTATGTAGAGTCCTTCACACGGGGAGCTTGTAGGAACACTTCAGTCTGGGACCAGAGTCTATATTGCACTACTGCGCAAGAGGAAGACTTCACCTGGTACTAAACCTTCCATAGCACCTTTTGGGGGAGTTGTACTTCATTAAAATCAAAGCACCTGCAGCAATAGACCAGAAGGATAGTCTGGCCGAAAGATACCAGTGCTCTCGCTTCCATTTTCCCATCACTCATTTGGGAATTGTCTTGGATGGGATAATAGTTTACAGCTGCTTCATGTGACGTAACATCCAAACTCTTGTATGATCTGCTATACAGTTGGCTTGGGCCCAGTTGGTGAAGCAGATTGAATCTCCAGGCTGTGTGATAACTGCATTCAGCAACACTCATTCAAATTATTCAGAATCGTCTCATTCAGAATTCTATTGAATTATATTGAAAACCTTGTGGAAGTCGTTGGTTCCAGCATCCATTTTTCATGGCCTAATCAGAGATACAGTATACAATGTTTGGAGGATATTTGCAGTGCAGCTTGCCCTAGTATATCAGCTTGGCTCAGTTCATACCACCTGTTGGAAGATTGTGGATTTAAGCCCCACATTGGGATTTGAGTCCAGAGCAGTTCTGGAGGAATGCTACATTGTAAAAGGTGTTGTCTTTCAGAGGAGACATTATTATCCTTGCATTTAATACAGTACTTTATCACTTCATCGAGGTGTCTCAAAACAACCCATGGGATATACTGTAAAGTAAGTGGTGTGACTGTATTTTGAGGGCAAACCGTGAACCTAGGTCTTATCTGGATTAGACCTTGCTAGTGGAAATGGCTTGTCAACAAATACAACGTTCCCACATTTGACAATAGCAACTACTTGAGAAGCACATTTGAAATTTGACGTAAGGTACTCCAGAAATTCAAGTTCTTTCTAGCTTGGTAGCTACAATTGAGCCTGTGGGTGCTACACAATAGTTTGCAAACATACTTTTGTTAAAAAAAAATTAATATGATGTTGACGTATATACATTTTCACTTACATATTGGTTTGCAAATGCTCGTTGCTTTTTTAATTACCTTTGATATCAAGCTGTTGAAGTAAATGTCTTTTTTTTCTTCTGTCTCCAGTGACATCTCTTCTCCTACCATGCCAGGTTTACAGTCCTAGTTCATATGTGCATTTTGTAGATCGGAAGCCTTCAGCGTCTTACCCTTCACCCTCCTCGTTGCAAAATAAACATGTTTCTGGATTTTCAGTCACTTGTGGCATTGTTTTTTTCCTATTATTAATATATTCATATGGAGGGTGTCTTGGCTTGTCATTTGCAACAGATAAATTTCTGCGAGATGTACAAAAGTTTCACCAAGTGTACATTTCACAAAATAGCAATGTGATGGAAAGTTGGTGTTATTTCTCTCCCTCCCCCATTATTTTATTAGTTCTTCCTGTGTTGCCATTTCTGAAAAAGGCTGCATACTGTGCATAGCGCATGAAAACTTTGATGATATTTGGTGAATTTACATTGTTTGGAAATAAGTTTTACTTTGTGAGAATTGTTCTGTCATTTGTTTAATCTAACAGAATATCTTTCTTCTGAACGATTGAAAATGCCTCTTCAGGAAAAAGACTAATGCACATCACTTACGGCTAATTTCTAAATGGTCATATATATTTTTACAACAAATACTGAATAAGACCTTTGTGGTCCTTTATGAAAATAAATACAAGTCGCCTGAATAGCAACCAGGCATAGAGGGGAACCCCAGATTATTGTTTCCCTCATAGGCTAAGTGTACTGCCCAATTTCTGCCCCAGATGGCATTGGCAAAGCCATATTGATCTGTTGGCTTTGCTTGAGGTTGCATCCAGATGTTCCATTTACATCCCACTGGGTCATCAGGGAGTCTATTTTCTATTTTTACTGATTTAGTCATCAGTGTTTATTACAAAGTTTGACCATTTTCTTCTGGATTTAATTGCATATTCTATTTTTGCTTACTGTTCTCTCATAAGGCTTTGACCCCTATATGCTTGTGACATATATGATTCCTCAAAAGGAAAACTCATCTCCTTTTGCTGCTTTTGAGCTGGCTTGACTCCCTTGCCACTCTGGGGGATATATCTGCTGCCAACAGCAAATAAAAGGTTTCAGATTGGCATAGTCCATACTTCTCGTTTCAGACTTGAGAAAGATCAGGAAGGAGAATGTACTGTTGGCCTAATCTTTAAAATAGATGCACAAATATTTGTTTGACCAACTTAAATTTAGATGTGCAATGAATTGTTTCTAAAAAGCCCTTGCAGTATTTCTTAGACTAAAATGTGTGTACATTTTTTTGTAGATGCCTGACTGTTCTTCGGGGCCGAACATTGGCAAGCCAGTCTAATTCAGACAACTACTTTTTGCAACTCAGAGACTATGTAATCATTTTTCTCCTCATCCTGATTCAGATTGTTGTTAACTACTTGTTCAAATAGCTATGATGAGAACCAAATGAAGCCATATAAAGGAGCTATAAAGATCAAAGCCCTCAATGGACCATTCTTCAGCACAAGATATATTAATGTTGGATTAATGTGCTTACAGTTTGATGATAATGTTCTTTGTAAACAGACTGAAACATTTTCTTGTATGTATATACAGTTATTTGATGGCTGATAAAATGCAATGCTTTAAAGAAACACTCCATGTTCTATGATGCTCCATATTTATCGAGTTAGGTATAAAGTACGATTTTACAACTGCTATAGTTCAGTTTAGAAGAAGCCATAAATTACCTACATAATAGGCAAATATTAGAAAACCACTAACAGCAAAAATACGTTTCTGGTGTACAAAGTGCATTTGAATGATTTGTGAATGCTTTTCCAGTATTCTATTTTACTGGTACCTAGTTCTTACAAATGTTAGAGTTGCATAAGAATGAGCAGTTAGCACACCACAAGCGTTTAGTCTAGAAATCTCTCTTTGGCAGGGCCCTGAGTACTTTTGCATTTAAAAAAAATTAAAATGTAACAAATCTGTAGGGTGTGATGTTGAAAGAATGTAAAGTAGTGCCTTCTGGATGATTTCACACTTTTGGCGTAATATTATCCTAATATTAACAAATGTCAGGGCTGTGCCATAGGAAACAAAAAGCCTTACAGCTGTCCAAATGATTTTGTTTTAACATCAGAATTTATTGTGACCCAATACTGCCATTAATACATGTATGGTATCTTATAACTAGTATGGATTTCAGTTTATTGTACTAATAATCTTGACCAAAATCCCAGTTTGTTCCCGGTTTAGCATGACAGTAGTTATTCCTGTTATATGCAAGTATGGTTATAAGTAACAATTTTTGCCCGTCCAATCTATTGCGTATAACAGGATTCTCTTTCAGGTCAATTTCAGAAAGGTCATTTCTGTAAAAGCAGCTATTACATGTTTGAAATAGCAATTTTCTAAATGTTTTTGTTACATTAACCTATTTCAATGGTGACTGTTAGGAAAAGAAATTATGCTAAAAGGGCCTGTGTTGTGCTTTTTTATATATACAAAATGACTTGTATGGTTTAAGAAAACCATTGGCAGGATCATGTTAATGTTATATCTATGTACTTATGTATTTATTCATAAAATGGCCTTTTGTTAACCATTTTTTTCATCAGTTTTTCTCTCCATAAATTCTGTAATCTTTTCGCATATACAATTAAACTTAACCAATAAATACATGGATACAACTTTTGGATACTTTTAGTTCTTAATTTATGTGTTATCCCTGATATTTTGAATGGTTTGCAAATAAGATGGGTACAAGGGCGTAAGACTGGTAAGAATCCTTAATTTTTCAGGATACACTTTAACAACCACTTGCAAAAGCACAATTTACTTGTAACCTTTAATTGATTCCTGTAATGTATTTATAATAATAAAATAATAATAATCCTTGCATTTGATATAGCGCTTTTCACGTCTTCTAGACGTTTCAAAGTGCTTCACAGAATATACTGTAAAGTGAATTGACTATATTTGTGGGTGAAACTCAGCAGCCAATTGCGCACAGCAGTGTCCCACACACAGTCGTGGATTGAAGTAACCAATTTTATTACTGTTTTTTTTTCTTGAGGGATTTTTATTATCAGGCATGTGGAGCAAGGAAACTTGCCCAAGGTTTTGTTCTGCCGGGAATCGAACCCAGGTCTCTCGCTTGCAAGACGAGTGCTCTAACCACTGAGGTACAGGACTCCACATTTGTGATTGCCACCTTGAGCATGCAAAACATTATTAAAATGACAGCAATGCAGACAGAAAACACTGAAGATTAAATGCCTCTTGAATTTTAAATGGCACTCAGTAAAATTAAATGTCAGGAATCTAACCCTTATTTGAAAAATCCATGTCAAGGTGCTGCAATGTGACAATCTTCTTATCATCCTGCCTCTGCCTTGACTGGAGGTTAGTTAGAACTTTTTATTGGCTGAGAAGATTTATTGTCCAGTGTTTAGCTATCTATATGTATTTTCTATTAGTAGTTTATGTAAATATAGATTTTTAGAAAGTGGTTAATATTTGCACGCATAACTAAAATATGCTATTAAAAATAATTAGTGCAGTTAGACTGTGAATGTGGTGTTGGACTTGTCATTCTACCAAATAATGGCATCTCAAAATGTATTCAGTGATCCACTTTCTCAGCTGGCTCACATAACAGCAGCCTCAGCAATTAATGTAGCCTTTAAATGGTGGTGTGAACTTATCCAGAACCAGTCATTCATTTAATGGATGTATAATAATAATCCTTGCATTTAATCCTTTCATTTGATGCGCTTTGCGATGTCTTGCCGCCTCGAAAGGCACTCTATAAATGTAAATTTTTTAAATGTCTCCAAGCACTTCACAGAATTTACCGTGAAGTGTATTGACTGCATTTTGCAGGCAAATACGGCAGACAATTAGCTCTTGTCAATGTCTCAAAACAGCTGGTGGGTGAATTTTTTTAATCTGGGGGATGATTGGCCAATTTGGAGAAACTCTTCTTAAATTGTGACCTAGAATCTTTAACGTCCACCTGAACAGGCAGGTGGGACCTCGGTTTAACCTCTCAATCAAAGGATGGCACCTCTGTTTCAGTGCTCTCCCAGAACTGCACTGGGAGTGTCAGACTGGACTATGACTGTCACAGTGCTAAATGGGGCTTGAACCTTCTCACTCCGAGGCAAGAGTGCTACCATCTGAGCCGGGGCTGAAACATCTGCGTAAAAACCCTACTCAGTATACCAACTCAGTATGTTTAACTCTGAAACGTGTTGGAGTGGAGCGGGGAGGAAGAAGAGAATAAGTAGGAAATCTGCATGCAGAGAAAATTTCCTTTGTGAGAATGATTGTTGGTAAGTAACCCAATTATACTGTACTTTCTTGCTTCATTCAAGTCTGCCCTGCATGATTTATCAGAAATGTGTTCCCACAACTAGCTCAAAACCACTCATAAATTCAACGGGTGAACATTTCTTAAAAGCCTCACAGTATCAGTATCCTGGTTGTAATCAAGTACAAAGCATATTGCTGGGGGAGCACTGCTGTATCGGAGGTGTTCTCCTTTGGATGAGATGTTAAACCGATGTCCCGCCCACCTGTTCAGGTGGACGTTAAAGATCCCACGCGCATTACTTGGAAAGCAAAGGGAGTTTCTTCTTGCGTATTGGCCAACAAACCCCCAAATAAGATTGGTCAATCACCTCATGGCCATTAGCAAGACTTTGGTGTTTGCAAATTGGCTGGCACACTTGCCTGCAAATACAGTCACAATAATTCACAATAAAATCCTGTGAAGCCCTCAATAAGACACTTCAACAACATAAAGCACTACATTAAATTCAAGGATTATTGTTAGGGTCACTCAGCGGGTAACTGGAATACCAAGTCCTATTTCAGTCATCAGGGTTAACTTAACAGCTCACTAGTAAATTTCCTCCATTTTAACTAAAGGAACTAGGGTAACTGCTTAATGCTTGTTTCATTGTAGTTAATATTAATTTATTATCATTCTTTAAGCAAATGTATTTATACAGTATGTGTTCATTCACAAGATAGACAGGGAAATAAATTTCAGCACTTTTACACAGTAACTGGAGATGGTGCCAAATCATTCCTCTTATTTCTAGCTGCATTGCTGTCAGACCAACTGCTTGAAATGAGAGGAGGACATCCATTCAAAAGTACAAAACAGCAAAAAAAAACCATGAGGGATGAAGAGGAGTGCCTTGTACTTGGTTACAAACAAGAACGTGATACTGGATAAAATGCTTAATACATTTTTCTTTCACCGTTTTTCCTTTCCAGAAATGGAATTTTGGGGCATGAGTTTACAGTGTAACCTGTTTTATGTAGAGACACGGGGAGAGTTCTTTGATTTCTGATTGAACGTGCAAAAATACAAAGGACCGTTCAGTGTGAGACTAATTACTTTTTTGGGGGTGTCTGACCCACGCAGAAACCTGTCACCCTGCTTAAGAGTATCCAAACCAACCAGATTTCTCATGGCACTTCCTTGTGCAGTTACCAGGCTGTCTTTGACACTGAATATTTCAGTGGAAGGATCTGTTGTTCATATTAGAGAATTCAGCAGAATATCACTGGACCAAATATCTTCCCTTACTCACAGCACGTATCAAATTTATGTTTACAAAATTCACAGGACTAGATTGTTTAGAAAAATAATATTTTTGCATGGACACGAAGACCACCACCTGATTTATTATGGATAATATGTGGATTCAAATATCCAACATGGGTCATATCACGGAAATATGATGTTCCCATTTATCGGGTTAGTTTCAGATGCTAGATTGCTGACACTGCAACTGCAGATTTTGCACAATAGTGTTACTTGGTCTCACCAAATATTTTCACAGTGGTTTAACAAGTAAATGTGCCTTCTTAGAAGCACTCAGTTCACTGTGGAGCCACATAAAATCTTAACAACAACAACTTCCACTTACATAGCACCCTCCGCATAATGTAGCTTCTCAGAGTGCTCAGCAGTGGCAGAGCCTGACTCCGAGCTGGGTGGGGGTGGGGGGAAGTGGCCATAAGCACGATCGAAGAGGAAGGTTTTCACACGGGACTTGAAAAGGGGGAGAGAGGGGGCAAGTTGGAGGGATTGAGGGAGAGTGTTCCAGAGTTTTGGGGTGTAGTGGCTGAAAGTCCGACCTCCGATGGTGGGGTGGAGGGTGCGAGGGACAAGCTGGAGGGCGGTGCCAGTCTAGCGGAGGCCCGGGTGGTGGATTGGGGAGTGAGGAGAGGTAGGGAGGTGCCAGAGAGTGAAGAGATTTGAACACAAATGTGTTGAAATATTATTATTATTATAAATAGCCCTAACAAGGACCATTTCAAGGCCATTCTCAGTCCATTCAAAATACTGGAATAGTTATCAGAGAATATTGAAATTGGGCCGTAAATTTAACGGAATTGACATCAAAACCATATCAGAGGAATTCAAACTGAACGTTCAACTAGGAATCAATAACTGCCACAGGTGCACAGTAAACAGTCTGAAAAGTGGAGTATTATCAATTTCAAATCTCCAAACCTCCATTGATCTAAAATTATGTTTCATAAAGTCTTGATTGTTATCTTTCCTGTGAACATTCTTATCCTCTTTACCCTCTTTTTGAAATCCTGCAACAAATCGATGTACTGCCTTGGTTCACATTACAATGAAATAGATTGATGCTATGTTTTACACAACTTTCATTTTTTTTTCCAAAATAGTGAACAACTGCTTCAGTTGATATTGCACGGTTCAAAGCACAAGGCATACTTTCGATTATCATAACAAAATACAGAACACAATTGTCTACCAATACAAGTATAAAAGATTTATAATAAATTGAATATTAATGTTTGGATTACTAGCATGATTATCAATTAGAATGGTTAAAAGGTTCATTGATCAATTGAAATCCTTGTACGTCAATGCAGAAATGTTCTTTCAATGTCAGTTTGGTGACTATAAACTTTCTTCTATGGAATGTTTCTTTTAAGACCATTTATCTTGCACTTCTCCTTAGTTTGTTCTCAGCATTGTATTGCAGTAGTCAGAATCTGTGACAATCTTGCTCATCTAATCTCCTCCGCCCACAGAAAGTAACCCTAATTGTATACAGCCTTTGCTCAAAAACACATCCTTTGAATGTCAGGAGAATTTGTAATCCATTGTAATTTTTTAGGCTAAGAACTTGAAGAATGAACTCTCTTTCTCTCACCGCATATAAAGCACTTAAATGTCCTCCTCCTCCTCAGAATTTGAACTGCTGTCTTTCTTGCAGATTTTTTTTTGTCTGGCTGATGTTTGGATTTGGGGTTTGTTAATTAGCTCAATTTTCCCTGAGATTTAGAGCTTTCTGTATAACTGTATACTTCACTGCTGTATATTGCGCTGCTCACACTACCGTCCCATTTCCAACCTAGCCTTCCTTGCTAAAGTCCTGGAACGCATTGTTGCAGGTCAACTTCAGTCACACCTCTCCCTCCACTCTCTCCTCGAGCCCCTGCACTCTGGTTTTCTCCCTCAATCCCTCTGCCTTCTTTCTCCCCTTTTTCAAGTCCTGCCTGAAAAGCTTCCTTTTCGACCGTGCTTCCGGCCACCTCCACCTTCCCCCCCGGCTCGGAGTCAGGCTCCGCCACTGTTAAGCGCTCTGAGACGCTACTCTGCATGGAGGGCGCTACATACGTGCAAGTT